TCTAAATGTATTTCTTAGGAAATTAAACAAGATAATTAACGCACCAACAGCTCTGAAGTACATCACAACTAAATATGAGGGAAATAATTATAACCGTCATACATGGAAGCACTAAATGAATAATATTCTGACTGAATTAACTAATGTTTTCCTCCCTGTGTTTGCATTAACAAAATCTAGCACGCTGTGCCCTAAGGAAGTGAGTGTGTTCGTGAACAACATTATGCATAATTAAGCGTGAAAATTGCACATTACTCATGGAGAACTTACAAAAGAGCTTCTTGTCCCTTTAGCTGAATCCTAAATTTAAAAAGCACCTTTCTAGAGAGTAATTCTCACAGGGATATTCTGGAGTTCTAAGCAAAGACAGCGTTTCTGGGTTTTAATTACATTTTGGGGATTTCTATGACAATGAATCTGCAAAATTTGGTTTATTATATCCAGGTAATTCAAATTAAGCTTTATGCATTTATTTATCCTCAGACATTTAGATTATTTTATTACAAGCATATTGAATACATATTTGGCTGGCACTGATTTATTAGAACTTTCATGTGTTATATTATACAGGTTTTAGTTAATGCTGTACACACCCTGCACTATTTGGCAAATTGATCATAAGCACCAGAGATAACAATCTAAAACCTCTAGAATATTCCAGCTAAATATATGATTAATTATAATCATAACTGATACATTGGTGGATTACTACCATAGATCAGACGTCAAAGCATACAGCACACATTCAATAGGCATGAAGTAAGAGCTTTATATAAGCATACTTTGTCTACACTAAAACTGGTTTAGATGTGTTTGTTGTTGTTCTGTTGGATTGTTTCAATTATTCTTTTTAATTTTTTGTTCGTATGGTTTTGATGTGTTTTATATTTTATTTTTTCTTCTTTTATATATTCAATGCTTTGTCATAACCATGCTTGTTTTAAATTGCTCTATGAATAAATAAAGTAGCTGTAGTAGTTGTTGTGTGTTTGGTATCATTGTATTGCTTTGGACTTGAAGAAAAGTAAAAAAAAAAATGTGGATGTTCTCATCCTGCTTGATATTCTATCCACTCAATGCAATACATGAGCACCACTTGAGAATAAAACAGATCATTACCATAAAACTACCACCACCGTGCGTTCTCACATGTTCATAGTTCTGAGGTTTGAATGTCTAATTTTACGCCCCCAAACCTAATAATGTTTTTTAATGTGTTGATTTTGTTGCAGGTGTTTGTTTTGTTGTTTCCTTCCGGTTTTTTTTTTGTTTGTTTGTTTTTTAAACAGAAAGGTTACTTATCTTCTGAAGAGCTTTAATATCCTGATAAGTGGTGGTACTTCTATGATTGCTTCTTAACATCCTTACCAATTTAATTTCCTCTCAGGAGATTGGTTTGGGTTAGACAACTGAAACTTGGATACAATTGGGTCTAAAAACAGAGGAATCATCCTAAACATTTTGTATTCCACCCTCTGGCATTAATGTCTTGATTAAAACCTTTTTTTAACCCAACAATAAGTGGTCCGAATTGTAAGGGAAATATGGATATAATTTCCACTGGATAAACTTTATTTAATTATTTTTCTTATTGTGAATTTCTATCCACATTATCCATTAAAACAGGACTCTTGCCGTTTCAATTCTCATTGGAATTTGGTCACATAGGTCCCAGCGTATCCGCTTCATACATATGGAATCAGCCTTGAGCAAAATTCTGAACCCACACATTTCTTTTCAGGTGAAGCATTCATGAATATGTGTATTAGGTGCATGTGACTGAGGCGGTTAGCTGTTGAAAACAGTCAAAAAGACTGAAATATAACAATAAAACTATTTTTACCTTTTGTACAGTAAGATACATACAGTTTAAAGTTATTTTGGTATACCTGATATCAGGTTTTCCACAATGCATCTTTGTGGAAAGACTTTTAAAAGGCTAACCTTTAAAAAGAAGCTTAAGTAATATAAGAATAGAGAGAATTATGCTGCAAGCGGATATAAACATATCTCCTTACATGTGCTTTTAGATAATAGAATAGAATAGAAAAGAATAAACCATTACAATCCCATGGTGTGGAAATTCAGGTGTTTTCAGCAGCAAGGTAAAGTTTACAAAATAGTTGTAGAAATAATGATTTGCTGTCCAAGGCTTGTCTGGATCAAATGAAATTTACAGCTTAGCAGGATAGACTGAAAATGTTACAAAATGCTGATGTGATAATTTTGCATTGAAAACAGCAACGGACTGAAGCACAATCTGTTTTTTTTTTTACATTTACTGACAGCAGTCTTATTTATATAATGTTTTAATAATAACATTATTACTAAAGGAATCAACACAACTCGGCATTTTGCTGAGGCACAATGCTTACATATTTGTAAAGCCAAAGAGGGGGAAATGGGAAATAAATTAAATTGAGGACTCCTATTTCAGGAAAACCATTGCCACCCAGTGGGAAATATGTGTACATGCAGGTTTTTTCCTGAGAAACGCTGCAGCCCCTGTGGTGTCAGTCTTTAATCTATTTAGGACTATTTTAGGTCCCTAACAACCATATTCTTTTAAGCATATCTTAAGTTAATTTGGTGACAACTGATTTTTTTGGGTGACATATTCAAGTTTCTAAATAGAAAATTTAGCTTTTCCATCTCTTTTTCATTTACCGTGCTCTGTTGCACAGACTTTTTTCCTATCACTGCTCCTGTCAGGTTAATTGGCAGCTAACTTAAAGCCTCAGGAGTTGCTCAGGTGTGTTTAGGTTAGAGAAGAAGCCTGGCATCCATTAGATGCCGGTCTTCCTCAATGCTCTGACTTCTTATGGCAGCAGTAGTTTGCTAATCCATGAAACACATCAGCTCCCCTGTCAGCCCTCATTATTTTGAGGCTATTAAGAAATGAAAAGTGTAGAGCAGCACAGCTCCAGTGAAATGTTTTTCTATTACAATTATGAAAATGAACTTGGTTCATACTGAAGAAAGCAGAATGGGACTTTCGGATTGTATCCCATGATATAGCTGTCAAATGCGAAAAATGATCAAACTGCTGTTTCCAAGGACATGCCAGCACAAAATCCTGAATGTCACATTGAAGATTTCATGTGAATTTGTGTGTATCCATAACTGGATTTCTTTTTTTGTTCGTATTTGCTGTTTATTTTTCCTTCTTCTGGGGAGATGACTGCAAGATTACAACTAAATAGTGGCTCTGGACTGACAGATATTTTTCATTTAATTAAGATATCATTTTGTTAATATCCAATAAAATAATTCAAAAAGTTAACCTTGTGTGTATTTACACCTGGTTATACATGTATGTTAATTTTAAGGATTCTAACTTAAAGCTAATTAAAAAAAAAAACATTTTACAGACTACCAGAATAATATGTAAGGCCTATTTAAAAACAGTTATATGGTAGAAATGTGGAATATATATTCTCTAAAAACATGTTTTGGGGTCCTCCAGGTTGAATCACCTAATTATTGCATGGCTAGAAGGGGCCCGTTTGTGGCCCTGACTCGGGCTTTAATAGCGACCCCATCTCCATGCTTAGCATTTCTCATCCTCCACATGATATTATTCCATCACTTCCCTCAGGGTTTAAGCTCTGGCCAGTTTGCTGTCAGGCATAGTTATAACATAGATATCAAATATTTTTTTGGAATGTTTGCCCATTTGGGTGGGAGCCAATGTCTGCTGGTAAATGAAACAAGTATGTCTATAAAGTTTGTGAGCAGAACTGGCTCTAATATTTCTTGGCAAATTACTGATCTGATTTTTTTATTCATAAAAAAGTTGTGAACCAACACTGCCAGATGTTATATAGTATCATCACTGATACTGTACACTAAACACTTGACCGCTCTACTCTTCAAGTCTGCAACATGTTACCTGAATTCCAAGTAACATAGTTTTATTTACATCTGTGTAAAGGAATTTGAAGAACTGAACATCATCCCGGTGTTTTACAACTGTGCTTCCGAAGTGAACAAACACATGGATGTGGAACTGGCAGCCATGCTGCAGTCCATGCATCATGAATCCCCACAAAACTCTTGAGTATATGCTTTGATTCGGATTCCTCTCAAACCTGCTTTTCTTTTGTTTCATGTGCTTCTTTTATATTTTTTTTTGTTCCATTTAAGTTTCTAGAACTGGTAACCTCTTAGCTGTGGCCTTTTGAGTCAATCAAGACAAAGTAAGCATGTTTTCATAGTTCACTATGTGTAATAAACCTGTCAAATTATTTCCAAATGTTATCGAAATATAATATATATTTTATTGCCATGAGCAGTGCATGTGCATCATGTGACAGTTTTGGAGTCCCAGAAGACCCGATCAAAACTTTGAAAGGATCTCTGGAATGACTGAAACTAGAGCTGGTATCTGTGATTGATCAAATTTAATTTCAGTCTAGCTTACTTATGGGCTGTTTCAGTTTCTGTACAAAGAAACACCTTTCACTGAAATCTTAAGGGACTTAAGACAAAAAGATACACATGGACCCTTCCCCCGTGGCTACTCTGTATACCCCTCTCGCCCCAACCTATGAAACTCTTAGATGTTCTTGGCCTTATCTCAAACACTTCTAGCACCATGCATACATACAATTAGCCCCTCCTCCTCTGTCCCTGCAGCTCCTCACGATTAACATAATCACAATAGTTCAACAGAGAGGAGACGGTGAGAAGAACACAAAAGCACTCACAGCTATTCTGTTGATCTGCTTCAGGTCAAACAAACCCTGTAGTAGCTATGGGGAGTTACTACAAAGGGATTTTGCTCTTTTACAGTTATAATTTACTCTTTTTGGACTGTATTCTCGTGTCCAAATAAATCAAAGTATCTGCAACTCAACCTTCTCTGCCTTGCATATGCCATTATGCATCATCTGCACCTAAAACAATCATATTCAGTGGTTACATACATGCTCTTCTATAAAGGTGTACACAAAGAAAAAACATCTGTTAATTCATAATGACCTTTTATTATAGCTGAAGATTACAGAGCTATTTAAATGAAAATGTCAGTGTTTTTCTAAAACAATAAGCCTACAAAAAACAATAAATACATCAAGAATAAATGTAAAATGAAATAACCCCGGTTTATTGCATTAGCTCGTCTTTGAAAAAAAAAGAAAAAAAATGACTAAAAGACAGGTCCAAAAAAAGTAGCTTATACAGATAAGTCTCCCACTCTTTATGGGGATAGGTAGTAAAATGATGCAGAAAAACCCCCCAAAAAACATCTATATTCCGATTAAAGTTTCTTCCACTTGTAAACAGAAATTGAAACCACTTAACAAAAGTGTACATAATGGTTTATGCTCTACATTCAGTACCATAATATGTTTCATTTCAGTGCAAATCTAGAGTGAGAATACAAATTAATGTAAAGATTTCATGAAAAATAGGCATTTAGATTCCCATAATTTGCACAATCACCTTAAGCTTCAGTGCACCATGTGAATATTTTTCATTCTGTAACTTAAAGATTCTAATCAAACTATCACTGCTTAGAGTTGAGATATCTGAACAAAGATGAGTAATGTCTAATTGCTGTAAAGAAACCAAAAGCTTTTAATGCTGCAGTAAATGTTTTTCATTGTATACAAAACATATTCAATCACACAACAATAAAGTTAATTTTTCACAAGCCCAAAGTACAAAAGTCAGGGTCAAGAGAATCGAAGAAAAGCAGCTTTATAAGAAAAGAAAAAAAAAACAACTATTTAAAAAGACTTACAACTTGGTATCTCTTCACACATGTGCAAATGTCCAGGAGGTAGGAACGATCTGAGGCAGTTTAAACACTAAGCTAATTTATGTTACATGGATTTAACACCATAGGTAGTTAAGAATAGTAGTAGTTTTACCCTTTTAGCCATGAACCAGTGACACTCCATGGTACAATGCTCGCTTCCACATGTAATATGTTGAGCGAGCGGTGAATGGGAAGTAAGATCGGAATTCTTTGAATGTGGGGAAGGACTTCTCCTCAAAGCGTTGCTGGAGGAAGAGTTTGGCTTTGGCCTTGAAGTTGGCAAGAGCAACAACATCCAGTGAAAACATCTGCTCATCCATGGGCACCCTGCTGGGGATGGGATGATTTAACTGTTGGGCGTCAAAAGAAGGCACAGCGGAACTTTCCAGGAACTGGGGGATGTGGACAAATGGGAGCTCATCCTGCTTCTCCATCATCTTGTTGGCGTTACTCTCCTCGCTCTTGGGGACATTGACCTCTGCATTCTGAGTGACAGTTACTTTCTTTGTCTTGTGGTTTTGGCTGCTACGCCAAAGCCAATAGAAACATGATGAAATGGAGGGGAATTTGATCTTAAATTTTGTCAAGGACCAGTTGGACTTCTGAACGTACAACTTTGCAGCTTCTCTCAGCTGCTTTTTACTCAAATAGGCCAGCCTGAAACTTCTGTGTTTCCTTCTCCAGACTCTCATTCTTGGTGCAGTGGGTTGAGTAAGGCCAGGTAGTGCCAACAACTGATCTTTTGGGCTCTGACTCTTGTCGGCATCTGAGCTTTCTTCACTGCTAACAATGGTGCTTTTGTATCCCCGACTGAAGAGCAGAGCTTCTCTTCTCCAGTTGTAATAGGTTGATCGTGAAATTCCTGGGAAGTTTCTCTTGAATATCCTGAACGGAAAGGAAGTGTTCATGGCGATGCAGTTCTGTAGACAACGCTTAGCTTCCTGCATGTGTGCTACATTCTGAGCCCTCTCGGCATCCATCTTGCCCAGGTTAAGGCCAAACATACTTGCAATGCTGTCATGGTGGTCTGACTCATCTTGTTTGGTTTCAGGTGAGGACCAAACCTCCTGCTCCGTGCTTTCTCCGGGGCTGATCTCTCCAGCTGAGGAAGATGTGGAGAAATGGCCACCAGATTTCATGAGCTCGTGCTTCCAGTTGTAGTACGATGACCTAGAGATCTCAGGGAAAAACTCTTTAAACTGGTGCAGGGGAATGAGTTTGCCCTCCAAGAAGCAGGCCTGGAGGAAGTATTTGGCCTCATACCTTACTGCTGGCTTTTTGCAGTGTTCCTGCGTCTGCCTCTTCCAGCGGTAGAAAGTCCTCTTGGTGATGTTGTACTTATCCTTCAGACTTGGGTAGGAAAGCTGCGACTCCTGGTTTAGCAGCTCCTCACTCCTGTGTGGAGATGTGGTCTCCTCACTTTGGGGGCTTCTACACACAAGTAAACTTGCCTGAACGAGCGAGACAAAGTATTTGGGCCTGAACAAGGACTCTGACTGCATGTCCCCAGACCACATTATGTGAATGGTTTGTGGCTCCGAGTCTTTGGGCCAGGTTCTGGGGCGTATTAGTCGATTGAAATAGGGTCGAATCTTGAGGTTGAACATGGGGTAGATGGAGTAGATGTTGAACTGAAGGACAGATGACAAGGCATAGACGTGCCACATGTTGGCATAGGAGCCAGGGAAGCAGGATGCTTTCACATCTGCATCAAATATGGCCTCCAAAACGGTTACAGGCAGGTTGAGCATGTCTTCAGACTCTTCTGCACTAAGACTAAATCGTACAGCTCGGAGCATCATTTTAGAATCAATCATCCCAGATAAGTAGTATCTCTTCCAAAGCACCATTTCCACCACAGTCCTTACCTGTAAGGGGGAAAAAATCAATGAAACTGTTATTAGATAGCTAAAAAGATAAAAAAATAAAAAATAAAACAACTGGTTAAATAAAAAACATTGTATTGTCAGCTAACCTGCAGCTCTAGGCTGAGTCCGGTGTTACCCACAAGCAGTGTGCTCACAGCATCAAATAGTAAGTTGCCTTCTCCATTACAGCTCAGAGGTAGTAGCTCCTGAGGCGCGTCAGCAGGGTACAGAGCTTGGGCTGCTTTGTCCACATGGACCCACTCAGGAAAATCCTGACAGGGCGCTTTAGGGAGCTGGAAAGGAGCGAAGACCCGCTCTACTCCCATGGCCACTCTGGTCACGGCGTCCAGGCCAGAGCTCTCTGTGGCCTCCTGGAGCTCTCGCAGAACGGACAGCACAACCTCATTTCTTGGGATCATACCTGCAGGTTTGAGGAGAGCTGCCGAGAAGACAAAAAAAAAGACAATTTATCATCAACAAACCCCACATTTAGGCACCGACTGTAGCATATTTCATTTTACTTCAATGGATCCTAGAGCACTACTGTTTATTAAAGCATTTTTCCCTTAACGTGAGCCTACCCGCAGAACAGGTCATGTTAGCTTTCTTAAAGTAGTACGGGAGCCATTGTCTTAAATAATTAGGCTTTCTTTCGATCTTCCATGCCATTGTCCACTGCTTAACTAAGAAACTTATCAGCATCTCCAACACATTTTCTTAATAGACTTTAATATCTATCAAAAAAAAAAAACTAAAGGCATAGAAATAGACTCTATAAACATTACTCTAGAAATATGGAATTCTTCAACACTCAATTATAGATCCAGATTCTATCTGAAAACCATTAAAAACTTTTTCAGAGCTATGAAGATGACACTCGATAAATAAATTGCCCTGTCTCTGGAGGACCCACACTTTCTTCCTGCACTTTTTAAATGGATTTCAGATTTTGGCATGGATGGCAGGAAAGTTTGTTGGAAAATGACTTAGTTTTAACATTTGCCAATGACCTTCAAAATGGAAATTTTCATAATGAAGCAGAACATTTCTATAAGATTCAAATAAAAAAATGAAACTCTAAAACAAACAGGTTTAGGTTTCTTGTTGCATGCTAAAAAAAAAAAAAGATTTATCTAAGACACATTTTATAATCAGGAAACTGCTGGTTTTAAATCTTTTTCTTTTCAGCCCTATGTGAGCATAAAAGTGCAGAAAATCTTAGCTTTCACAGTTCCTTAAAAAAGAATAAGAAAGCAACATTACAAGTACTATAAAATCCAGCTGCTTAATACTGGTAAAGTTCACAGACACCATATATTATACTTAAAAAGTCTCTGAAACTGTTACTGGTGTATGTTAGAACCAATTTGAAGGTATATAATGGATATTTTAGATTATGTATGGACACAATCGTGTATATTTATTAGATCAGCGTTTATGGAAATAAAAATCCTGATGCTTTATGAAAGTGGTGAATTTATACTGATCAAACTATCTGTGTTGAAGCATTGCTCTTTTTAAGGCCAAGGTCCCCAATACAGCCATTCTTAAGTCATGAGGGCAAGAGAGACTTAATTTTGAAAAGCATGCTTAATACTTAATACGGTTATGATAAGTCTAACTTAACCTCATCTGTTTTTTTTACTTTACCTTAATTAGATATTGAAGGATTTCTTTACTAATTTGTTTTGTCTTGATAAAATACCTTCTATCAACTGCGCAATTTGTTTTGGTTTGAAGTGTAACCAAAAAGTATTATTTATTCTAATTTCTTGCTTATTTAGGATCTTAAATCAGGGGTTCTTAACCCTGGTTCTAAGGGCCCTTTATGTTATAGATGCGTCTCTACTGAAGCACACCTGATTCAAATGATTGCATTTCCTCCTCCACAGCCCTCAAATGCTGCAAAAGCCAGTTAATTACCTTTTTTATTCAGGTCAGGTGTGTGGAGGCAGAGAAACCCCTCAAACATGTAGGACAGTGGGTCCTGAAGTTAAATCTCTACCTCCAGTGCTCTCATTATAAATTAATCATCATAACAATAAGTACAGCAGCTGTTATTTAAGTAAATTTAAAGTACAGTTCATTTTTCCTTTACCTGGCTTTGTTTAGCAATATTCTGTTGGTTTAGTAAAAAATTTTTTCCCTCCCCCTGATTAATCAGATGTAAAGCAGTCTGAACAGAAAAACGCTCTATAAATAAAGACTGATGCATTACGCGGGGTAATATTGTTATAAAAATTCGCAGCAATGCAGTGACTGGGATTAGTTTCAAGAGATTTTAGAAAGTTGGTTTGATTAAATAAAAATAGGCGATAATTTCAGCAGAAACATCAGGAGAAAGTTTGAATGTCTTACCTGGGCGTCCTGAGACTAACATGAGTCTCAAGAAGTCGCGCACAATCAGGGCGGAAGGATACACCGTCCGAGAGGTGGTAGTGGGTTAGTTAGTTAGTCCATCCCCTGCACGCAGCTCCGGAGGGTCCTGTCCGATGTTGGGGGCTGATAGGAGGAACCTCCCATCAGGAAATTGTCAATCGCCGAATCACCTTTTTTCATCCTATCCTTTTTTTTTTGCCCTCTGTTTCTGCACTGTGAAATCCCCCCCTCCTCGTCCCCCTCCTCCTCCCCCTCAAGTAGAGCCAGGGTCAATTTCAATGTGAAGTGTCAACAAAAGCCAATGTGTGAGAGGCGGGTCAATGCTTGCAGGTATCGGTGCTTTTAGGATTTTATCAACACTTTTATGTTTTTTGTTCTGTCTCAAAGCTGGTTGTCTACAGGTCACTTCCAAGGTTATTTGCAAAGTCCTGTCTGCAGCAGGGGGCACTCACTGCTGAGCTTAAACTATTCAATTGACCCACCTCCATAACAAGAAATATTTTATTATTTTCTAAATAATTATTTTATGTTATATTTTTATATCAAACTAAAACACACAGCTGATGTATCATTAACTCTGCTATTTTGATTAACTACCTGTTTTTACCTCTCCTTGTTTTATTTTCCTTCTATTATTAATTCATGTAAAGCAATTTGAGTTATCCTTGTACCTTTTGTATCATTGTGCTTTATAAAAAAAACTTGCCTAATGATGCACAAATTGTGTAATTTGAATAAAAGCACAGGCTAACTTTCTGAAGGACTTGTGTGGACATGTCCCCCACCAATAATTTCAATAGACTTTGGCTTTCACCAATATGTGGGACATATTTCTAAGTTTGATTTTGCTGCATTTAAAGGAGGATAATCACTGATGTAGCTGAAAGGGAAAACATCCAATCAATCAATCCACATTTTTCTGGATGGATGAATAAAACTGAGATTGTGTTCAAACAAGGGAGGCATGATATATTGCTGTTGGCATCGGAATCTGCTTTTATTCATCCTTTTTTTTAAATATACATTAATGTCTAACTACTCATAAATATAAATATCAGTCTATTTTGGTTCTTTTGTGTTCTCAACAATAGGAAAGCATTCAATAAATATATGTTTGAACTCATTTTTGGAAAAAACAAACCCCATTGAAAGCGTTTGTGTCGAGTAACTGTAGGTCCATCACCCACCTACTTTCATCACAAAGTTACACGCTTGAATAAAAGTAATCTAAATAGATTGGTAGTTGGAGTACCTATAGATTGATCAAAATCTGGTCTAAATATTCAATTTTTTTGTGTGTATCTCAATCTGAGGTAGCTTTTAGGTACCTAGGAACTCATAAACTCTCAAATCCAGTGGTGCTCCCAGAAGTTTTCAATGGTTTAAGAGTAAATGGGAACCACTTATTAAAATATTTGGGTAGAACTAGAATTTGTTGATTTGTATTAGTACTGATTAGATCTCGTTTTAGTTGGGGAAGGGTTAATTGCATGATACATAACAGGATTCCAAGATTGATTTGAAGGCTAATCCTTGCTAAAACTGCTAGGTTTGAGTTTAGAGACAATTTGTACCTGAATGCATGGGCTGCCTTATTTACTAAATGATCCACCTGGGCTTTAAACGTTGTAGCTCATCAAAAAACACCAATGCTTCTTTAATAATGATACACTTTTATTATGAGTATGATGCACAAAAAAGGAAGAAATGTGTTTTATTGAAGTATGCACTTAACTTTTGTTAAAGTTAGCCTAAACCCAAATTTAAAAGGTAAATTTTTTCCTGTAAACTTGTTCAGGTCATTTCTCTAGTCCGTTCTCAGTAGGCCGTATGAAAGCTGGTTTGTTGATTAGAAGAATGAATGTGCAGACGGGGTGTGGGCACAAGCTTTATGAGACCAGAGGAAGGCACCTGAGCTCCAGCTCAGAGGGTTTCTCTACTGTATCACTTTTGACACCTCCCCTACTCCCTTTTGCAGGATTTCTCTAATCAACGCCTTTTGTTCCACACATGCACAACAATCCCAGCACTAGCAGCACATTCCCAACCCCCACTACCCCCACTGTAGACCCTCTGACACACACATAACACTCTAAGGAAACACAGCATTTGGCCCCTGCTGATCAGCTCCAAGGCCATGGCAGACAAACTGGTGCCTGAGTTTGTGGAGGTTCAAGGCTTTGGCCCTAACGTCAATTAGGCTGCATGAAAAACATGCATTTTACAGCTTTTGCTTGTAAACAATGAATCAAAGTTTTGTGTGTAGGGGTAGGGATTTTTTCCCTTTTCAGGGTCTCGCCCTTTTGCTGTTGAGATAACTCTGTGATTTGTTTAATTATAACTCCTTGTTCCAAACCTAGCATCTACTTTGTGAGATTGGAGAGATTTTGTGCAGAGTATCTTGTGAAGAATCGCCTTAATCATCAGTTGTGATGGTAGCCATCTACAGACTTTTCATTCCTACATAGTTTCCAACATGATGTCTCTCCTAATTAAACCATATTTAATTCTGTTGCATCACTCATAGCCCATATGCAACTGCTAAGGGAAAGAATTCCCATATTGTGCAGCTGTCACCTCTATGTATCAATGGAGTTTGCAGGATGATATGGGGTGTTCATTTTTGATGTACCGTATGTATCAAATGCACGGCTGCAAGCAAAGGCAAGGCTATTTTATTTGTATAGCACAATCCAGTACATGGACAATTTAACATGCTTTAAATTGCAAATACAAGTACAATTACTATTGTTATTCAATTATCTGGGCAATGTATCTTCCTAAAAATGCTTTCTGTTACCCCTGCATGGCTTCTGGAAATTTAAATGAAGCTTTGTATGGCTTTCTTTTTCACAGTCTTCTATGAATGACAGAATTCTGCAGTGCATAACTCATGTCCGACTGTTCCATTTAGGCAGATAGCTAAGGGTCTTCTTAAACTTTCCTGTTTACTAATGTTCTCTAACATAATTCCGAAGCCTTCACAGAACAGCTGTATTTGTACTATTTTTTTTTAATTACACACAGGTGGACTCTATTGACCAACTACTTGAAATTTAAAGGTACATGGAATCCCTGGATTTAGGACTAGCTTAAAGGCAGCAGCATATTCCATGATAAGCCTGAAATTTGTTCTTGTTTAGGGAGTTCCTTGCTGCTTTTTCTCAGCATGTCATCTGAGCAAAACCTTTTTTCACAACTGTTGTGGTTGGGTAGTATTTGGATGTAGTAAAAAAGTGGAAATGATTTTCCCTTTTTTATATCTGGTGTGGAATTATCTTTACAGTGAAAAAATGTAAGAAATATAATGGATGCACAGCAAAAAACAATCTATAAATGAGAGCAAATTTTTTAAAAGAAGTTTATTTATCCTTAATTTGAGCCGGTAAATAAGATGAGCTGCCAATTGAATTAGTATTTTTGTACTTGAAAATGCAGTTTTTTTTTTATTTTATTTTTAAATCTCACTTAGTGTGTCTCACTGACCTGCTTAATTAAAGAAAAATGCACTTATTCAAAGAAAAATTGAATTAGTTACATTTCATTTTTTTTTTTGCAGTGTAGCTTTGTGAATCGGTTTGTCAAAGCAGTAAGAAAATAACAAAAATATGAACATTTCTGTAATACAGTTCATTCTCTTACCACATCTTGAACAAGAACAAAATTCTCAGTTTTGCAGTTTATAATTAGCCTTAAACGCTGTCCGATTCTTGGTTTTGAGAACAATCTTATTTTATTTCAATAACTATGCATTCATTTTCATCAATTCATCAAAAATCTGATCATGTTTAAATAATATAAAGGATTTTATTAAGCACAGAAGATTGTATCTGAATTTAGTGAAACCAAAGTAGCAGTTGTTGGTTTGATTCCAGCTTCTTCCTGTCACATGCCAAAATATGTAAGGAACCTATCCGTAAATTGTCTTCTGTGTTCATGTTTGAAAGCATGATTGAGTGGATGTGGTTGTAATTTAAAGCTATTGGAATAGACACATGCTTTCTAAATCCAGTCTTTTCATCATTTCTTACCAATTCTTAAGGGTACCCAAAGTAAATCCCAGTGAAACTTTTCCGATTCTCTTATCATCAGTTAGTGATCCATGATATTATAGAAATGATTTATGGTCACTTCATACATAATTTTTCTAATTTCTATGCTTTTCTATTGTTTGTTTTTTTGCCTGGCTGCCATTTCAACAAACTTTTAAAACCTTCTCTCATTCCTCCTAGGCCATTTTGAAAAAGTTTATATCCAAGCAATTTAACCCATGGAAATCTGCCCCACATCAGGTTCTACATAAACCCAGAAACAGTTTCTATAGTGTGTGGGCCTGCTGGTCCTGTTTGAGTCTGCTCCATCTTCTCAACCCCCATAGATTCCTGTCTATGGCCAATCACACATCTTAGGTGTGTAGATTAGCTGTGCTGCGCTGCACTGTGAACACAGTAGTGGGCTTGCTGGAAGCATTTAAAATGCAAATAGGGCAACACTGGGACCGGCTCCGGCAGTCTCTTACCTGCTGTGGCTGTGTGGGGCTCTGTTCTTGTGTGCGCAGGTGTGTGTGAGTGTGTGTGCATGGGAAAGTAAATACATGTGAGGACAGGAGCCAGGATTGTAGGCCATGTGTAAAGGTAATTCAGCATGTTTGAAAAGGAGGTACATACTTACTCCCTAATGAAGATCCAACCAAACAGATTGATTTTTACACCTGGTTCCCAACAGAACATTCAAAGTAAGGATACTGATCCAAACGTCACTATCAGAGCAGCTCTTTATGAAATCTTCTCAGCTCTCTGTTGTGTGTCTGGTTTCACAGCAGTCTTTAAGCCCCCCTACCTGGGTTTGCAAATGTTTGGGGAACAAGCCAGACTGATCAAATACTCCAATTTATTCAGCTTTAAGTTGCATAAATGAATCATAGACAGACCCTAAAATCACCAGTTTAATGCATATTTGCCCTTATGTTCCAGTTCAGTTCCATAAAAGTCACAGTATTTCATAGGAAGCAGTATTCTGTTATCTTTAATGCTTATAAATGAGGCAGAAATATAAGGCGGATTAACTGAATTCAGATTAAGGGTATAGGGAATAAATACTGAACATATAAGTCAAATATATTGAAAATCGATGAATATTCCTGTTCCTATGTGCAAAAAATGTCCAAAAAATTATCAGCTGGTTTAATTTTACCTGATGACCTATACTATACAAATGTTTTTCTTTACCAAAATAATTCATAGGATGGTGTGATTGGTACAAACAGACTATTTCTGTAAAGTTTAATGACGACATTTGCATTTATAAACTTCTGTATGCTCCAGTGAGTTATAGAGACTTGGTTGATAGAAGTGATTTTTGTAAAGTAAACCATATACTGGATACCAGTTTCTTTAAATACATATTCACTACATATAATGAAAGCTTATCTGCCACCTAGTGGCCGGAGTTATCCCAACCTGCATTATATTTAGTTAATATGCATACTACAAGTCATATATTTATATTTATTGTTTTTGGTACATTAAAATTAAAGTATTTCCACTTCATATGAATTTACCCTTGTAAAATAAAAATGTATTTTATTCTCTAAATGTTAAATCCATCCGGGCAGTAAGGGGTGATGTCCTACTGTGTTTTCTTTATTCAGACTGCCTTTGTGAAAACAGCTATTCGTGCTCCTTTAAATGATAAGCTGCAATGATTTCTGTGATACGTCTGCAGTCTTGGGTTACTATGACATTTGATTAATTCCAATCTCGATTTTGCTCCCTTCATGTGTTACCATTTTAACACAGCCTAATTTCATTGTGAAATTTTCCACAAACCTTTTTCCACCCCTACTCTTAATTGCTTTTTAATAGTTTACTTTGTTTACAGTTCGAAATGTCTGAAGAACAGATATGTATAACACTAAAAAAGATCAAATGCCATGTAAATGTATAGGAAAATACTGTTTAATCAATTGTTGACTTTTCCCCATTTGGACCACTAATTAAATATAACAGATTTAGACCTTCATGAAATCAAAGTAACAATAAAACTGAACAAATAGTATTGTTGGAGTTCTTTAACCACATATTATTTTTTCCACAACATTAGTATATTATAGACAGTAACTTTAAATCATCAGCACAACAAGAGAATATAAAATATCTCCACAAAATAACCAAAACTACTACTGAGAGGTGAAAAAATCACCGGCACCTGTCATAAAGTTATGCTTCTTCTTAGCCTTAATCCCAAAATGTCCTAAAAGAGCATACTTGTTTTTTTCCCTTGATGCTGAAATATTTTTGATCAGATTCCTGTCACTTTAGCTCCTGGTTATACGATCTTCGTCCCATTTTTAGGGCCCTAGTAAGATGTGGGATAAAACCTTAAGCCCAGGTATTTTTGGCACAATGTTTCCGTCTCAATACAACATTTTGTTTAAATAGAGATTAACACATCATATGTCATAGCAATTCAAGTCAGTTAAAAAACATGAAAAAAATTCCTTTAAAAACTCCACATTTTGTGTATTTTTTGGGATACTTTCCAAAACCGTAGAATTTCTATCATATTACACATAAAGGCACCGCCTAGTTTCAGTGTGGTTATATGGCATTGGACATCAGAAAGTTATATTTGCTCATACAGTTTCACTCAAAAAACCTCTTGAAAATTCACATTAGCAAGTGCATTTTATAAAAACAGCCACTGTTTCTTTTTACTCCCTTAGACCTAAATAGTCAACCTGACAACTACAACAAGAATGGAGATAACAAACTTATCAATTTTACACTACATGCAGCTCTAGGCCAGTTTTTTAAAAGCTTTTTTATTCTATTGGTATTTGATACAAGCGTATTCTGTTGACTCACACTCCTGGAGCAGCATGCTGTCAGAGCCTGTAGGAAGAGTGATGACCGCATAGATCACCTCACCTGGAGCCTGGACACCAACAATCTCATTAATCTTACTTTTTTTTTTAGATTATATAAAATGTCTATTGAGTCTGGGGTGGGGGGATACTTACAGAGTCACCAGTGTTCAAATTACATGAGTTGTTTGCTATCTGATTGTCTGAAAATGAAAAGCATTACAACAAAAGACGTCCATCAGTTTCTCAGTATGTATAATTTTTATAGGAGTTTTCACAGAGGAAATCAGGCACAACAGCTGGAAAACTAACTTAACTCAGAGGGTGGAGTCTAAAACACAAAATATTTTTTCATGTGGTAACTCTGGAGCTGCAGAGATCCACAGTCAGAGAAAATGCCTGGTAGGATACCTATTAGTTTTGTACTCCACAAATGCTACCCTCATGCAGGAATAGGAAGAAGAAAGTCATTTTTAGAGACAGCCTTAGATGTTTTGTTTTAATCGTCTACAATCCATGTAGGGGACAAAACAAATATGGGCAACAAGAAAAATCAGATAATAAAAAAAAAAAAATCAACTTCTAAGGAAAATGCTGTATAAGGTAAAATACTTAGACTATTTTTCAGTCATGCCCACAGTGAAATATGGTGCTGGATGCATCATGTGGGAATGCCTTTGCACAGAAAAGGTCATGAAAGACAGGCAGAAGTGATTGGAAGATGGATGGAGCTAAATATAAGTGGAGGAGAGCTTATTGGACACGGTTTTAAAAGTACAACCAGAGCTACAATGAGTCTAATGTGTTAAAGATGAACACAGAAAACCAATATGGTAACCAGCTGAGGGTGGACAAAAACATCCGACTATATGTGCAAAGCTGAGGGAGAGACGCATCCAAAGATACCTGCAGCAAAAAGGTTAACAGAGAGTACTTCTACACAGTATGGACTCAGAGGCCCTAAACACAAACGCACTTGTCTGATTTATATTCATTAAAGATATCGAAAACAATTTTTCCTTTCGCTTCCACCTCATAACAAATTTAGACAAGCTAAATTCATTTTATTGCCACAAAATGGAAAAACAATTATGGGGGGGGGGGGGGGGGGGAACATTTTTCCAGCCAGTCTAACATGGTTTGGAAAGTCACTTAAAGCCAAATTGTGTTAAATATTCACAGATTACAAAACATAGCTTTAAGCAGTAAAAAAGAAAAAAAATTGGGAAGCTCACTTCTTACTTCACGACCACAAAAGAACAGTTGTGCAAGGTGACACCTATTGTGACCACATGTATGACATGCATGTTACAATTTTTCTAAGTGGACATTTCATCACACTCTGGCACTAGTTTAAGGAGGTTCAGAAAAACGTACCTCTTCTTGTTTTTTTTATCTTTACAACAAATGCAGCAACGAGAGCTGTCACCACCATGCAGCCTAGTGCTCCCACAGCAGCCCCAATAGTGCCCATGCTGTGACCTAATAAAAAAACAATTAAATAACCTACTGTAAGGGATGGGGAATGATTCATTGTAAGCCTGAAACATATTTTTAAAAGTACCCTGTAGCACTACACTGCAAAAATCTAGAAATAAGAACGTTTTCTAAAATGTATTTATCCTTAATTTAAGTGGGTAAATAAGATGATTTGCTAATAAGTATTTTCTTTTCTCTTAAATTTAAGATAATTACATAATATGCACTTGAAATAAGACAATCCCATAGTTTTTCTTATTTTAAATGAAATTTACTTTGTTTTATTGGCAAAGTGTGTTACCAACCTCCTCTATTAAAAATAAATTGATTATTTTAAGGGGAAAAAAAGACTTTTTGCAGTGTAGGGTACCTTGGAGATCAGCTTTAGGCTGTAAGATGAGGCCTTTCCCTCCACCTCTTCCAGTAGGCCCTACAAAAGGGAACTTTTTTATGTAAATAATTGCTGTTTTTGTCATTAAAAAAAAGAATCAAAATTGTGGCTGACAGCCAACAAACCTTGCACTCTGATCCAAAACTCATCAGAAGTCTGGATTTGCTCATTCACGGCCATCTGACACTTGAACCTCCTGCTTGCGGGACTCTGCAGCGCTATAGTCAGGGTGACATCACAGGGAGACCTCTGCTGTATCTGGAGTTGGGAGTCTGGGATTACTTTGGAGCTGGATTCATCCACCCACATCAGGCTGATGTATGACTGCTGATTATTACAGTGTTTATGCCTGAGGTGGGTGGGAAGTACACACTGCAGCGACAATTTCTCTCCAGGTGCAAGGATTAAATCTGAAGCTGCTAAGAGAAAAAAAAAGGAATATATTTCCATATAGAACAGATTCCTAATTTTACTCTCAAGCTTTCGGGTTGTTTGTCTGCACATTTTGTTTTTCCAAAGGTGAAAAAGGATTCAACGTAGCACACCTGGATTCTTTTGGCACCGAAGATGTCCATCATCCACTTTGAAATGTAGAAAACACTTTGAGCCATCATCCTCAGGGTTAGACGTCTGGATTTCTGCATTATGAACTACTGCAAAGTAATAATTTCTCCCTCTTGTGTTGAAATGCCAGATGTCATAGCAAATATTATCACATGGAAATGTATCAAAAGTCCTTCTTAAAAACATCCGATCATCTTTTCCATTTACGCCTGCAGAAAGAACTCTAGAAATTAAAATGATACTCAACAATAACAGAGATAAACACAGAGGATAATATATATATATATATATATATATATATATATATATATATATATATATATATATATATATATATGTCCTTCACAGTACCTGATCTGATAAAATATAACAGAAGCATCCTCGTCACAGCATAAACCATCTCAGCCATCCTGTTTGCAAATCTGTCCTGTCAAACTGACATCTGAGGTTCAGTTGTTGCTAACAGTTAACAGCATCATCGGTTCCTGTATTAGCAAACATGCAAACAAATCGTCCCTGAAAGTTCACTGTCCTTTTGATGCGTTGCAGAACAAGATTGAAGCAGCTTCATTGCAAAAACAATCTAGAAATATGTAAAAAAAAAAAAAATCCTAAATTAAGTGTATTTATCCTTAATTCAAGTAGGCAAATAAGAGGATTTGCTAATAGAATTAGTATCTTTACTGTTAAAATGAGATAATTAGATAATATGCACTTGAAATAAGACAATGCTAATGTTTTTTCTTATTTTAAATGTAAATTGTCTTGTTCCATTTAGAAAGTGCCTCACTTACCTCCTCAGTTCAAGAAAAAATACATTAATTTCAAGAAAAAGATTACTTAGATTTCAATTTTTTTGTAGTTTTGGATGCTTGTTTATTTGACAGCAAAACACAATAAAATAGAACTTCATTGATCTCACATTGGAGAAATTCCCCGGTGACATCGGCTCTTATAAACAGGTTTCAATACTGGCCTTCATCTTGTGAGAGACCAAATCATACATTGATTGCATATTTGTAGATTATTGACATGCCTTGCAAAAGCATTAGTACATCTTGAGCCACAAAACTGTGAGATGAAAAGGAATGAACACAGTTTTGTTAGTTTTTACTAAAACAAATCTGAAGTGTAATTTGCATACTGACACCACAAAGAAAATAGAGAGGTCGCAGGATTTATTAAAAAGAGTAAACCTTATTGTGATTTTTTTCCTAATATAAATTCTAATAGGGAAGGTTTAAAAAAAAAATGAACAAACAGTATTAAGATTAAAGAATACCTAGACCTCAGCTTTAACAAACCATAAGACTCATAGCTTATTTTTACACTACAGCAGGGAAAGAAGTGCAAGGACTAAGATTTAGCCAGGAGAAAATCCTGGAAGAAGGCACCAATACACAGGACTGTTTAAACACTGAGAAACGCTTCTTGTCTGTGAACATTTTCTACCCATCAGTCCTCAAGTGGCATAGATTTAGCTTCCCCTGGTTTAAATTCTGTACTCATTTTTATTTAAGGCAATTTTTGCTATCTAATAAATCAATAAAATTATCACAGATTAATTAATTTGCAGTAATTGTTAATTGCAGTCCTAATTTGCTCCAAGAAGCTCCTAAAAAAAGGTTTCTTCAATTGTTTCAAACTTTTAACTGGTTATAAAGTGGTTTGTTCTTTTACTAGGACATTTTAAAGTGAAGGGTCTCCAAAGCACTTTACACTACAGTCAGTAGTGAGGGTCACACACTGATGGTGGCAAGCTAGTCACAGCTGCCCTGGGACTCACTGCCACACAGACGCCATCAGCAGGCAATATGGTGAAGTGCTTTGCTTCCGGACCAACAACCAACATAGCATGTGCTTTTTCCTGTAAGTTTTACAACCATAAATGGAAAAATACTCATACTTTCTTGAAATGATAAATGTTTAATAAGGCGATGAAAATATATCTGCAGCATGGTGTTTGTATTCAGGAGCAATAAACAAATGCTCTGTGAGGCAAACTCTACACTCTTCTGTATTCAGATCAGCACTCTGAGAATGACAGAGAACTGTTTTGAAAAAGATGTTTATGCCAGAGATGACTGCTTTCTATTCTGCTTTTAAAAGTGACCTTCAGATACAAAGCAGGATATGAAAAGGCTTCGATATCCCAGAGAGGACTCAGTCAGAAGCTGTGAGAGGGAGCTTGTTATTAGAATATGTTTAAAGGTGGATGAAAAGTGTCCCGCAGTGAGCAAGTGATTAAGAAGTTTTCTTTGTTTTTGATGATGGAGTTATGCAAAAAGATCAACATTCTCAAATTAACTTTAGTCTCAGTAAACATCTGCTCTAACTCCCCTAAAATACCGATTCTCCTAAGGGCACAAACAACATATGTATTCAGTCAACATAAATGTGCCCTTAATGATTATATATTTTAGACTGTTGTTAAGTTCAGTTAAATTTAATTGAAATTTAATCCATAAATTAAATTTAAAAAGTATGTAAAGTTCACAATTATGGGGTGAGGAAGGTTTGATTATATCTTGAAAATATGCATGATAAATTTAGCCAATTATTTTAGAAATTGTGTTGCAATTCAAATTTCTAACCACTGGGGGGCAATCAAGATGCATCTACATTCTTTCAAGTTTCACATTTTACTAATGTGTCTTCTTTATATTAAATTTACAATCATTTAGCAAAAAGCAGTTATTTAAACTTCAAAGTGTCAGTTAATTGTTTAATATTTTTTATATTATATTTTTCCTACTCGTGCTACTTTAACTTTTGCAGCACATTGAACCTAGTTTTCTTTAACCTAAAATAAAAAATAGAAATGATCATTTGAAAAAAAAATTCTCCATACTTTTCCAGTGTGCAGGCGGCCTGTTGTTCAGAGCTCTCTGGTTACCAGTGCAGCTAATTCATTAAATAATTAAAATAAAATCAATGCAGCAATAAAAGGCAGAGGTTGATGACTTATTTTATTCACCTCTTTAACAGATTCTCAGAAACATTTTCTGTATGACAAAAATATGTTTTCAGTTCATAAGAAAACGTCTACAACTGTCCAGAACCAATTAAACTAAAGACATTCATGGAAAACTTTACACAGCACTTCAAAATAAATCTCACATTTCACTTTTGAATCCTGTACATATTGCATCGTTCACATTGGCTGGGTTGGCTCTGTGTTATTGTCACAAAGCTGGAAATAAGAAGAAACCACTTTCTTCATTTTCATTACAAGCATTTTCAGCAGCATTTCAGAGTATTAAACAGAACCTCGGAGATCAGAAATCCCCCAAAATAATGTAAAAAATTACATTGCCATCTATAGGATCACCTGCATGTCAATACAGGTAACTTACATTCAACATCTTTGAGGTTTTAGTGCAGCTGGGACGTTCTACTCTCCAACAGGAGTGCTTTGGAAACAAGTGACAGCAGTGCTTTAACTTTGGGTACACCATACGCCTTCAGGCAGTTCTTCAGCGTGCAAGACTGTCCATTAGTTATACAGTTAACAGCTCAGAGGAGAAGCAGACACATTGGCCTGCCTTTTTTTAAGGAAATGTGTTGAGCTGGTTAAGAAACCATGCAATAGTCTACACAGAGTCAATTCACAAATGGGGGAGACAAAAAAACTGCAGTCTGATTAAAGCTCTGATCCCTTTCAGATACAGGTTATGCTATATTATTGCACACAAACACAATACATCACGTTTTGGATAACTTAACATTCAAACCCTTTTGTTTAACTTATTAAAATTATACATTAGCATGCAACCATTAAAGGAAGATTTCTGAAGATTTGAATATTTTTGTCAAATGCTGTGCTTAATTATGATAGTTTTTACAAGTTGGAATTTCCTCACTTTGCAAACCACAATTGTTTGAAAATAAACCCACAGAAAGCACTTTTTGAATCTTTTAGGGGCCAAAAGCATCAATGAGGGATCACAGCAGAAATTTCAATTCCTTAACCCCCCCCCCACAAAAAAAAAAAAAACTCAAAACCTTTCAACACAATCAATTCTGTTTATGGCTTAAACACAAAATGCAATGTAAAGCAGAATCTGAACAGTGCATTTCAGTCCAAGCACACCTTACCCAAATAAAATTTTTAAAAAATGGTAGCGACAGGTAGGCCCTAAGAGATGAAGGGAAGATGGATAAAAACTGTAGAAAAGATGCAAACCTTCTCACAGATAAAAACAAGAAGCACATGAATTAGTTCCCCTGATAAAGCTGTATGAAAAGCCTTAAGATGTATTTAGTTTTTCCCTTTATCATACTTTGGGTAAATAATACTATAGTTTTTGCTGGTCTTCAAATCAAGAAAAAGAGCACAATGAAATTGCCATTTCTAATTACATTAAATGTTTCTAACTGGAATGTTCGCAAGACAGATGGGAGGAGCCATGTTGATCTTATCAGGATGGTGAAGGAGTAAATTAAACCTCAACAGTTCGGAGATTAAAGGAAGCCACAGCAAGGTTAACTCTGTCTCTCCAAGCCTCAAAAAGAAGTAATTCAAGGCCTCTAAACAGCTTTACCAGGGTTGCCAATTTTTGTTGAGGTAATGATGTGTGAATCTTTTAAACTGTAAACCTAATATAATAAAAAATAATAAAAAAAAAAAAAAAAACAGTAGGACAAAGGATATTGCTCCACATTTCATATCTAGACTTAACTTTCAGTACAGAACAATAGACAAAGCAAAACAAACAAAACAGCATCTACGGCATGAATGCCTTCATACCAGCTGTTTTTTGCTACAGTGGATCCAACAGTACAGTGATGATGATGATGATGATGATGATGATGATACCACAGCTGTAAACAGTCTTGGTTAAATTAAACTGTACAACTATTGTCTGCTACAGTTTCTCTCTGGACTGTTCAGAGGATAAAGTTCATGTAAAACTTGAGCAACACCTTTTCAGGAGATTAATAACACACAATAAGGCAGGAAAAAAGTAGAAAAACAAAGAGTAGAACTATTGGTATAGATACATTGCAAACCACATATTTTCAAGATATGTTAAATACATTAGATATAAGACTTTCCAGCGTCTAAACTACACAAACTATCCAGAGACAACATCTGTTTAATATTTAGAAGAATATAAGCTATAAATCTCCCAGATATAAGAACCTAAACGGATCAGTGGTAATATTCTGATTGTAACCCTGGATTTTGCAGATCAAATAACAAACATAAGTTAAAAATAAATACAGCAAACAGTCGCTCCCATACAGAGTGCTTATTTATAGAAGAAATTCCATGACCTACGTCTGGGAATTGTTCATCTATAGTAAGATGGAGTGAGGCAGCATTAATGACGTTTAATTCGTCTGTTCATGCATTTTTAAAGTGCCAAGGCTGATGAGGAGACCTCTGCCATTACAGACTGGAAGGCTGCTGCTGTATCTGTGTGTGGTGGCCGTGCTGAGCCGACTCGCAGTCTGTGGGGCCCTCCTCCGCCCTGCGGGCGTACATCAGCACCAGGTTGACGGTAGCGAAAGTGGTTGCATTCACAGGGAAGGCTCTTAGCAGCGTGGAGGTCAGGCCTCGTGTAAACACCATATAACCCTCCTTCCTCACACTCTGTCGTACGCAGTCTGCAATGCTGCTGTACTGGTTGACTCCGCCCACCCCGTCTGCTTGCAGCCGAGATTTGATCACGTCAACGGGATAGGTGGAGAGCCATGAGGCAATGCCGGCCATACCGCCGGCAAACATCATCTTTGGGATCATGTAGCGCTCAGCGGGCTCTTGGCCCATGCCGCGTGTCAACACGTCATAGGCTAAGAAATACACGCCAAAGCCAGGCATTTCACGGACGAGGGTTGTGAGCATTCCTCTGTTCACACCCCACAAACCTTCCCGTTTGTAGATGCGTACCAAACAGTCCAGGGAATTCTTGTACAGCCTCCGGGAAGACTTCTTTTCCCCGGTGCCCTGCATCTGCATGCGGGTTTTAGCCAGCTCCATGGGGCAGCAGATCACACACTGTATAGCACCTGCAGCAGCACCGGCAAGGAACTGGTTTGTGGGGGTGTCATGTCCAAGCAGACGCATGGCGTTACCCTGGACACCAAACACTATAGCATTGATGAACGTTAGGCCCATCATTGGTGATCCGATGCCTTTATATAAACCAGACACCTGCAGGAAAGAACAGGGGCAGTAGTCAACATCTAGCCTCTCTTTACTTCTGCCTGACGACGCCTCAAAAACAGGAGTCAGTTTTCCTCTAACAGCTGCTGCACCTTGCAAAAACACTAACATCCCTTGACTTTGGATTGAAATTTTATTTTTTTTAAGGAATTCAGCTGCTTTTAAGGCTATAATAAGATGGATCTTAAAATTAAAAATGTTTTCTCTGGTCAAACAAGCAAACCAGCACATTGTTTATATTATTACCGTGATTTCCTTTCTGTATTTCTCCTTGAATAAGGGATGGGCTTTATATTTTACTCGAGAATTGAACATATAAACTGATTTAAAACAGACATACCGACTCCATTCTCACGATGGACTGGAAACAATGGAAGGTTCCACGATACAGGGGCTTATCCACACTCTGGACCTGGAGTCTAACCTGGATAAGAAAACTTCTTAGTGAGTCTCGCTGATTACAGTTTTTCAACTGTTTACACACAGAAACTGGTACTTAAGGCACAATGATGACAAGTTAACCTCTGCACCAATCCTTTGAACAGGTTCTGCTGGACTACATACATATATATACCTGCTCTTCTCAACATGAATCTTCTAAAACACACTGTTCTCAAAACATTTCCCGTACATTAAGCACAATTTGCATGAGTAAGATATTTTGTTTTGTTTTTAAAAGAAAGACCCTGTAATTCAAAATTATAAATGCGATTTGCCCAACTTTGCACATGACTCACGACACTGGAAAACATCTGTCACACAGTTTTATATTTAGCATTCAGAGTTTGAAAAGAAAATGGCCACAGCTGAAACCTTCTGCTTTCATGCAATGGTTGCCAATATTGGGATGCAGAAAAGAAGAAAGCATAGTTTGTTTTTTTCACATGTACAGTAAATTTCTGTTTTTTTATGTGTACCACCAGGTATAATTTTGTGTTTGTATGATTACCATAGTTTCCGGACTATAGAGATCGCCTCACTTTAAGCTGAGCCCACTACGTTTTTTGAAAAAACTGGAAACGCACATATATAAGCCACATCAGGCTATAAGCCACTGATATCTACTTAACTGTCCCCCACCAAACCTGTAGGGGAAGCTCTATATATCACCCCTAGAGTGGGGATGAAGAAGAATTCTAGCTCCTGTTAGCTTGTTGGCTCGCAGCAGTAAGAGCTTCTACTCAAAGATGGGGCTCCGTCAGCTCTTTATTTCAGCTCTGAGGAGTTGAGCAGAGTCTCTTCATTGGTTCGGCAGCTTTAATGCAGCAAATGAATGTCAAAATGTGTCAATTTGAAACATTTGTTCTTTGTCGTGCCTGCTGCTAGCTAGCTAGTTGTGCTAAATGAAAATTACCCCCTTATTTCCACTGTGGGTTTGGAAAAACTGCACCTTCTTATAAGCCGCATGGTTCAAAGCGTGGGAAAAAGTGACGGCTTGTAGTAAGGAAAATACGGTACATTTCGTACGGGAAAATATAAAATGCTGCTTATAAGACAGACTGTTTGGTGTGTTCTGAACACACTTACGTACTATCTGAAGCGAGTGTAACAGGGTAAAAAAAAAGTCATGAGCCGTGATCTCCATTTAACATTGCGTTCATATATATATATATATATATATATATATATATATATTAGGGATGGAACGGTTCACAAAATCCACGGTTCGGTTCGGTTCACGTTTTCGTGGTCACGGTTTTCGGTTCGGTATATGTTTATTGTTACACCGAAAAATAAAAAAATTTATAAAAATGTGTGCATTGTGTAAAGAGAAAGAAGAACACATGATGATGCTGTACTTCTTACCTTCACTGTGTCAAACGGGTGTCCAACAAAGACTCCAGCAGCACCTATAAAAGACATATTACACAGTAAACTGATGAGATAATCTAATTCGTGAACATTTTCTCCAAGGAAGAACTCTTCTAAGGGAGTAAAATCACTCTTTAAACACTGTTTTCTTCACACTTTACAATAATGCATTACTTTGAGTTGATCTTTCAAAAAATATCCAGCTGAACTACTTTAACATGTTAAAGATATAGAGTGTCACAAAGCGGGCATGACCACATCTACAAATATATATATTACAACAATATAACATTGTCAGCATTAACGATACGGATTTCACTCTCAAGAGTTACTGTTTTCTTTTTTCTACAGTTAGTCTTCTTCAAAGCAGTCCTCAAAACATTTGAGGTTTAATTTTAGACAATGCTGCCATGTCCTGCAAGACCAAGCCTATCTTTGCCCATCGCCAACTCACTGAGTTTCAACACCTTATAAACTTTATTTAATATGCATTTGATTGTTATGTAACTCAGTGTATCATGTGTGTGTTTTCTGGGTTATATCTTCAAATTAGCAATGGAACGATCAAGTTTCCTGTTCAATGAATGAATCACACCTTGCCATAAGAGTGAAGCCATCAGGTTTGACGTGAATTTTGTTAGAAAATTAAGGTGAACTAATTAACAAAGATAAAAATCATCACTTGCTGCTGCGCATTTTTAATGTGGCAATGTAAGCATTGCTGAAAACAAATTTGAAGTGACTAGATAACTGAACGTATTGAAAAAAAGGAAATTACTGTATTAGTGTCATTCGTCCTATATCCAATCCAGCTAATTAGTCAACATCAGAGCAGATATTTAATCTGTGTATCAGATCAGGGAATCTCTATATGAAACAATGTAAAAAGATGAAAACTATTCAAATTGCTTTTTATCGTTAAAGACACAATAAAGTTTAATTTTCCTACCTTAAAATTCAATTATAGCTTGGAAAACCCTGCGTACAGCATGGGTTTTGATATTCTGTAATTGACGACAAACTACAAGCATCAACATGGTGTATATTGTAGCAGTTTATGGGACACCATAGTGTCTTAAAATAAATAGTCATGACTTTAACAGTCCAATAAACAATCTGAACTGGATTAACTATGGTTTCCATAGTGCAGTTTTATGGTGCATGATTTTCCTTTCCAATAACAAGCGTGAGAACACTTTGACAGTGACAGGCTCACACTCTCACACTGTAAATAAACACAACAGGTTAATCCTCATAATCGCCTGATGTGCCACATGACCCATTTGTCCTCTCTACAGTCAACTCAGAACAGAATGCTGACATCCTTATAACCAATAAAAAATTTGAGGGTGGAACATTTCCAAACTCTGAAGAAAAAAAATCTCAAAGTAAAGATTGTTTACATATAACCATGTGTACTTTAAATGGCAACACTGCCATAACTTGGCCTCTAGTGTCAGTTAGTGTAAATAAAGCAGGAGGGGGATTGGTGTGGATGTGGGTGTGCACTCATTCAGACAATCATGCAAGAAGAAATGTGAAAAAATCTGAGTTATACCTGTACTTATCGTTATATTTTGGGTTGAACTGGTGCTTTCATTCTTTGCAGTTCCCCTCAGTCCAAACAAGTGTGGGTAACGGTTATTTGCTGCGCAGCTGTTTTATATCAAGCTTTGATTACACTGCCGCTTATAGAAGCCCAGTTGGTTAACAGTTTTTATCAGGACGGGGGTTATAAAGTAATTTAGTACTTTATAACAGTGCGCTACAAAGCACACAGAAGCCGTATAAAACTATTTATTTTACTCAACCCCGTGTGTTTACTGTCAAGTTAGTGAAAAATAGACCACCAGGAGCTGATAGGATGGATACTAGCTGCTGTAACTTACCTCCGATGCATCCTGCAACAAAGTCCATCGTCGTACCTGAGCTTGTTAAGGTTTAACGTTGTTGCTAACGAAATAAGAGCTCAGAAAACCTTAAATATTGTATCCAACGCTTATGTTCTTCGCCTTCTTTGTAGTTATTTATGGGTATTTATCAAAGCTAACGAACTAACGTTAGCTGACACCGGCAGTTGGCTAACGGAACCGGTTATAGCTGGTTCAGGATTCGTTTTAAAGAATCTACGTTAGTAGAAAATGCACGTTTTCTGCTCGCTTATCCTATGTTTGCGCAGGGAAAGCCCTCATTGACCACCAGGGCCGTTAAAACCGATGTGCTGCTATGGCAGCCTGTGTGAACTGTCTCGGTGACAGAGCTTTCGTCACAGGAAGAAGTAACCCCAGATGGGCGGATCTGATGACTCGTCGGCTCCCGGTTTAAGTTTCTGACCAATCAGAGCGAGAGGAAAACACCAACACCCAGTGCGAGGCGTAATCGTTGTTGTTTTTAGGCTCACGTGTCTAGAGATATGAGCGCGTGATAGTTTTAAGGTACATCAATTACTAACAAATTAAATACCATATTTTTACAAAGATGGAAGTATGGTTTGTATTTAAAATGAATGATAAAAAAATATCCAATAATGTCAGAAGCACGAATGACTAAGAATATACCGCATATAAGCTTTAACTACATTTTTGAAACTTCTAAAAAATGAAAAACAGATTAGACCGTAATATTCGGGTGAAGTCAGAGCAACAATCTCTTTATTCGACTAATTCCGCGATGTTTCAATGCCGGGTGTTGTATCTTAAAAAGGTCTACTTTATATCGCTTTGGTTTTGTCCCGCCATCTTTCCACTGTGCTTCTACACAGTAGCTTATGAACCTGTGGTGCATTCAATTGCATATATTAAATTAGAATATATGTAGTGAAATACTTTCAAAACTGAAGATGTGATCAGATTGTTAATCAAGTCTTACTCTATAAATTTTAAAAAGACATTTGTGTATGTATGTGTGGATGGATGGATGGATGGACAAAGACAAAATTCAACACTAAAGACTTGAACAACTATATCCCTATTAGTTCAGATTGGATGAACAAAAACATTCATTTACATTTTTAAGTAGAAATCTCAACTTTTCTTTCTTACAAAAAAAGGCAACAGAAATAAATAAACAGTCACTAATGTTACTATAATTTGCAAAGTACTGGATTAGAATTGGGGATTTTTTCAATTTCGATTCCTTAATATACGAGTTCACCTGAATGCATCATTTCATTGAATGGCGACCGTAATGCTCACTGTAGAAGCGCAAATGGGGTGGCAACATTTTGACGTGGGGAACTTGAAGCTACACAACACCGGCTGTCACGTAACAGTAAAATAGTCAAGGTTATTGACCGAGAGTTTCAGAGCACACATGGCTTAGTCAGTCTGTGTTTGACAAGATGCACATCGCGGATTTCTTGTCCGGATCGGTTGCAGGTAATCGATAAAGCTAAACTCACCACATTGGTTCTTAACATCTAATTGGTGTAGTTGCTAAATAGCTAGCCGCTGTGAGCATGATGTGATAACCACGTAACGACATTTGGTACGATCAGATTAATCATGACTTAACCTCTATCTTTAATTACCTACTTTCTATTTTAAAGTAGTTAAAAACTAGCACAGGGTTTCCTTTGTTACATAAAGAGAAACGCCAAAAGATGCTGATTCTCATTTGTTATGTTTGCCTTCAGGTAGCAAAGACTGATTTAAGAATAGCAAATGCTGCTTTTCTTAAAGCTCACTCCTATAGCCACACTAAATGCAAAACTGCCACACTAAATGTAAAACAAAGTTTTGTCGCTTAAATATTTTTGTTTATATCCATATGCATGTTTGTCTGTTTAACATGGTTCTGATTAACATAGTAAAACAAGACCTTGCTCATCATTGTCTGCTGTCCTTGATGCAAACCAACAGGGGCATGTGGAGTTGCAGTGGGCTTCCCTCTGGACACTGTGAAGGTACAGTAACCACAATCTGTCCTGGATGTGCCTTACTTCTAGGTGTTACCTTATCCAGTGGTGTCAAAAGTACACACATTTGTTACTTAAGTAGAAGTATAGATACTGCAGTTTAAAAACACTCTGGTAAAAGTTGAAGTATCAACTTGACCTCTTCACTCAATTAAAAGTGAAAAAGTATGTGCTCCAAAAACTACTTAAAGTTTAAAAGTATAAAGTAACCTTTAAAAAAAATAGCCAGATGCCACTATATGAACTGAAAGCTGAATTTTTCGACTATATATAAAATCCTTAGGGCTAAGGATGAGGGAGGTCTTGTTGGTCTCCATCTCTATCTCCTGATACGCTCTCACCTGTACCTGACCTTTCGTACATTTCAACATTAGGATGAATTCAACACATTTTCTGTAAACAGATGGATGGAGGCAGAAGATGTCTTTCAGTCTTCAATGCAGACATTCAGCGACACACAGGAGCTCTTTCAAGCTGGGCACCGTTTCATTCACAACACCTGTCCCATCAACCAGGAATCAGAAATACTTTAATAATCCCAGGGTGAAATTGTGTACTTTCGTTACATTACTCCATCTGTAATAGTCCTATAGGACCAGTTTATATAATTAGGGGGTCCCCGCTTCATCTCACCTTGGCCTGGAAAACGTTGAAGACCTCTGGCATAGACAATTTGTGTTTGCAGTTTGAAGAACACCTGCTTGCTTCTGATGATTTCCTTTAGCTAACCAATGAGTGTTTGCGTTATAGGACTCTTTCAATAACACAAGTCTTACCTAGATGTTGATGGTGCCAATAATCTGCATTGGATGGAGCACATGACATGAAATAAATATTTATAAACATTAAACCGAAGCCAAGAGGAATGAGTAACGTTTGTTTTAAAAATGTAAGGAATAGAAAGTACAGATACTTGTGTGAAAATGTAATGAGTAGAAGTCAAAAGTAGGAAGTAAAATAAGTAAGGGAGTAAAGCATAGATACCTTAAAAGTGTACTTAACTACAGTAACAAAGTATTTGTCATTCGTTACTTGACACCTTTGACCTTATCATGTTCTTCTTCTTCTTTTAGGTCAGAATCCAAACGCAGAAACAGTTCACTGGACTGTATCAATGTGCATTGGAGACATTATCAAAAGAAGGGGTGAGTACAGATGATGGAAGCTATAGAATACTACAAGCAACAATCTTGAAAGAGCTGATGATGGCATTGGTTTTAAGGTTGTGTGTTGTTATGAGATTTAATATAGTTTTACTGTTTTAAACAAGAAATGCAAACATAAATGTCGAACATGATCCTATTTAATTATGGTTGGGATTATTTCATGTTAACCGTTGCATCGATACCGATACTAGTATCGGCAGCGCCCTAATCCAGCACTAAAATGGTATCGGTATCGGCGAGTACCAACAAATAGGGAACTGATACCATTTTTAGAGTCAAAAGTTTATTCAACTATTGTCACCCATTCCAGGTAGGCAATTCAATTCAGTTTATTTATAAAGTGCCAATTCACAACACGTCATCTCAAGGCACTTTACAGTTCACCAGATCACACAGTAAAATTGATTCAAAGTTTTCTATCTAGGGAAAAGCAGTTGATTTCATCGACTCATTGACTTGGATGCAATCCCTCCCGCTGAGCATGCTTGTAGTGACAGTGGAGAGAAAAACTCCCTTTTAACAGAAGAAACCTCCAGTAGAACCACACTCAGTGTGAGCGGCCATCTGCTGAGGCCGACTGGGTTTAAGGAGACAGAAGCAGAGATACAAAAAGCAACTGCAAAAGGCGGCCCCCTCCAGGAAACACACAGCCAGGCAGACGAGCTCCGAGCCAGCTCCCATGTCAGAGGATGAAGAGAGCACATCCAGCCAGTCACGGTCAGAGAAACAGGACTACACTGGAAAAACAGGCCGATCTCCAACATCTGTAAACAAAGGTGTTGATGGCAGCAGCACAGCTGATATTTCTCTCCAGGATGGTGTCACAGCAATAAAAAGTTCAACTGGATTTACTTTGTATTAGTAATTTTTCTGCTTCACAAAGGTAGGCAGCAGCTTGAAAAAGCCATGATGGCAATTATTTAACATCCAATTAGTATGCAGTTCTTCATATATACACACACATCAATTTCAAACAGATGGTATCGTATTGGCCAATACTGCACAGCCAGGTATCGGTATCGGGGCCAAAAAATGGCATTGGTGCAGCACTATTAACTGTTACATTTGCCCCCCGAATTCACTGCAAAATTTGGCATGAGGGGCAATCTGAACTTTGCCAATTTCTTTGCAATGAACACATTTAAACAAGATAAAAAGTTTATATTGAAAAATATCAACATCTAAAATACATTTTCCATTCCAAGTTTTATATCCAAATCCAAAACTAAAGTTTCAATATTATTCACAGGTTCCTTCATAAAAGCACACATTACATAATCCGTTGTAACCTCAGGCACTTCCTTCTCTGATTCAGGTTGCTAAAGGTAAAACCCTTCATACAGGTGATTGATGGAAGCATGTTAGTGCATGGAATATCCAAAACGTTCAAAGAGAGGGGGAAGAAATAGAAAATATTTCCAAGGTACTGAATATTCCTAGAAAAATTGCAGCATTATTCATAACTTTAAAGAGACTGGAATGAAGAGAAAACTAGCAACAGCTGTCGCTAGGGTCCTGAGAGAGCATGGGTGAAAACCTGCAGTAAGGCTTAGTGGCAAATGCAACTGTCTTTTTACCTCTAAGGAACTTAAGGATATAACCCATGGACCCTTAATAATAAGAAAAGCCTACTTCAATCTCCTGACATTTATACAAATATGCCTAAAGGTTTCTAAATTCTGTTTAGTGAATAAAAAAGTAGCCTGTTGATCACTGGTATATCTAGAGGAGGAAAAATTAAGGATAGGCTCAGAAGGCCACCAGAATATAAGGAAAGCAATGGGTACAAGAAACATAGCACATGGAAGATGCTTCAATCAAATATCAGGTGTGTTTGAGCAAGATTGCTAAAAAAAAACCTAATTAGATAACAGTGGTGCTGTTTGGATTGTTTGGGAAGCTTGCAAAAAGTTAGCCAACATGTTTGACCAAAGTAATTTAATTAGAAAATGAAATAAAATGCATCTACAGCGCTCAATGTGATGTATAGAAATATTTTTATATTGGGGAAAATAGAAATTATTTTGGTAATCTAAGGTGGGCTAAAATGAAAGATGTTGGATAGTCTAAATTAGGGCTGCAACTAATGATTATTTTGCAAATCGATTAATCTATTGATTTTTTCTTTAGTTAATCAATTAATAATTGGATAGCCAAAGGGTCCTTAAAGAAGAGTTTTATAATAATAATAAACCAAGTGAAACTAAAACATTTCCACTTGAGGAGTTCTGCATAGAGCATATTGATAGATGAAAACATTTTTTTATCTTAAATGTGAAATTTTTGTATATTCTTTTTACAATTTTAATATAATTGCTGCTTTAAGGGGGGTTGCTTTGTCCACTAAAGTCCTGTTTTACAGTCTCTATACTCCAGTTAACGATTAATCGATTACTAGATTAGTTTACGATTATTTCATTAATCAGTTAATAATGATTAATCCATTTAATAGTTTCAGCCCTAGTCTAAATACAGCCAAACGTGTAAACGTTTAAGAGGATCCTTAACTCTTACCAGCAAGTTTTTTTCTAATGGAAATTGATGAATTTGATTAATTAGCCAGAGTCCTGATTTATATCTAAAGAATATTTAGCTTTCAATGTATTTATTCAAAAAGGCTTTTCTGTCTTTTGTTTGATCAGGCGCACGGCTTCTTCAAAGGCATGTCTCTTCCGCTCACCACAGTCTCCATGACATCCTCAGTAGTGTTTGGCACCTACAGGAATTGTCTGCAATGCATGAAGCAGGCTAGAGGCGCCGATTGGAGCCCAAACACCAAACTGGAAATTTTCTTGGCTGGACTGGCTGGAGGTGTCGCTCAGGTAAAAGTAACATCTTTTGTATTTTCAATCTACTTTTAGTGATCCTTAGATGAGTTAAATTAGTTTAGCCTCATTTGGCTCTGCTTAACTTTATCCCACAGACGTCAGTGATGTCACCCGGTGACATAGTGAAAGTACGTCTACAGTGCCAGACGGAGTCCAGGATGCTCAGGCCAAAGTACCACGGACCAGTTCACTGTCTGCTAAGCATTATAAAAGAAGAGGGGATAAAGGGCCTCTACAGAGGAGCTCTGCCACTCATGTTAAGAGATGGCCCATCTTATGCCACCTACTTTTTGACTTATGCAACAGTCTCTGAGTGGATGTCAGGTGGCAGCAATAAGAAATTACGTGAGTGAAGGCAGACTCTTCCAACCTGTATATTTGGGGCTATTGTCCACGTTTGGATTCTTAGAATTTCCATAATCAAATGTAATAACATGCATGGTGTTATTGGTTTCCCTTAGACTGGAGTGGTGTGCTTCTGGCTGGCGGAGTGGCAGGAATGGCTGGATGGACCGTCGGAACGCCCATGGATGTCATAAAAGCCCGTCTGCAAATGGACGGGGTGAAAGGGCCAAAGCGGTACAAGGGTTTCTTCCACTGCATCGTGGAGACGGGGAGAACAGAGGGAGCTGCGGTCTTCTTCAGGAGCTTGGGCATTAACTGTCTGCGTGCATTCCCAGTGAACATGGTGGTATTTTTCACCTATGAGGTCCTCACTGGTTTTCTTCGAACTGGACCAGAAAGTGTTGAATCACCTCATGTAGGATTAGAATAGAGAAGACTATTTATCTAAGTGCTTTATTTTTGCAGGACTGATTGTTTCCATAGTGTTTACTTAAACTGTTACATATTAGACAAAAAAAGAGGAATGTTGCCAAGAGACTCCATCAGTCATAAGCACTGCTGGAAACAGATTGTATGTGTCTTCATCTGACCACTAGATGGCCTCCTTGGCCTGATTGTTGCAACTTATCTGTTACGCATCACATAACCTCAGTCTTCTATAACTTAAGACATATATTTCAAACAGAACCTTTAGAAGAACCAACAGGGCTGTGCACGCACAATTTTGGAGGGAATGAGTTTCCCCCTAGACATACAACATGTTTTACATCTGCTGCTTTTTGCATATAATGCATTACAAATGACTCAAAGATATTGCTTATTTAGAATTGACGCAAAAAATGTGTACTAATTAAAAAGATTAAGTGTAGATCAGCATATTCTGCAGTTTTTTAATCCTAAGGAGAAAATCTGCTGTTTTATCATTGCACTAAACTCATGTATAAACTGAGTTTTAAAAGAACTGTTTAATTTAAACTGGGGCAACACTTGTTGTCTGGTACAGGGGAATGAATTTCGTTACAGTGGTAAATCGTAGCAAGGGGTAATTTAAATGCTGGGTGTAAGGAAATACAATGTGTTATTTATTTAAGAAACAATGAATTGTTTTCTGCAATAAAGCTTTACTTTGTGCCTCTTTATTAATAAATGAGGAAAAAGACATTGAAGTTTCACACTTTATTTATGGTGTCAACAGGCAGAGACTGAAATATTTAGCTAGCAAACAGTTTGTGATTGAAGATCCTGCAGATATGAATACCAAATATCTTTCAGTCAGACAATAAAAGGAGCAGCAGCTGAGCCATGTCAACACACATTTTTAACCATGATGGGGAAAAGGCTGCTCAAGTTTTATCCCAAGGCGCTATTTCCCAGACTCAAAATATTTAACTGCATATTTGATATACATCTATAGAGGATTTATTTTGTTCATTGCATATAAAACTACTGATTTCCGTCTATTATGTTGTCTTTTGTATTTAGTTCATGGCAGCATTTAAACTAGTATTTAGTTGCCTCTGAGTGCAGCTATGGTTTAATTTGATCCACCTTGAATCGAAAATTTAATAAAATGGTAAAGAGTAGAGATAAATTAGATGTGTATTATATTTTTCTCTTTTCAACAAAAAAGCAAACAATTCTAAGTTATTAGCTGTAGTTAAAGTCCCCGGTCGATTTATTAAGTATACCTGGCTAGTATTAGATTAGATCCTTCCTGAACTGCCTACATTTTCATCATTCATATCACAAAGGTCAATTTGGACTGCAAGACATGCTGGCTAATATAATCCAGGTGTTTAAAAACTTGTATTTTACATCCTAATGTGATATTTAGCCAAGCAGAAAGGAGTTTCACACCAGATATGTACAACATTCCCCAAAATCCTGAAGGTCAGGAGACAGAGAGGGGAATAGAACATATGAGGGAAGTTATATTCTCATCACAATATTTATTATTATTATTATCTCTGTTACAAGTGTTTCCAGTATGTTGCTGCTCATGGTAAATGGTAAATGGCATGTACTTATATAGCGCCTTTATTCAAGTTAGGAGACTTGACCTAAGCGCTTTACACCACATTCATTCACCCATTCACACACACACACTCACACACTGATGGTGGCAAGCTACATTGTAGCCACAGCTGCCCTGGGGCTCACTGACAGAAGCGAGGCTGCCGTACACTGGCGCCACCGGGCCCTCTGACCACCATCAGCTCAGGCATAGCAGAGATGCAATAAGGCTTATATTAGAATGACAGCATCACACAGTGGATGCAGATTGGTCCTCAGGACATCCATTATGTGCATCCAAAAGGTGGACTGAGCTCAGCTGAGGCAATCAGAGTAAATTAACATAATTTCTATGCAAAGCCAATGTGTTGAGTCTACAATAATATAAAAAAAAAAGATATTCTCCACACTATTGCACAAGTGGCCTGAACTGTTCATATAAAGCATTATAGGTCAATGATTTTATTTTTTTTTTGTAATGCCAGATTTTCACCCTTAATGTATTAATACCGTACTTGAATATTTGAATTCACATGGTGGGGGTACATCTCTGGGGTTGACATCTCTCTCAGTCAGATCTGACGGATATGTTCTGTAAACCGGAAGTTTTGTCACATATTTCCAATCTGATTTCATTCTGCGCTTTGATTTTTACCATTGAACTGTAGCTTTGGCTGTATATTAAAAGTCATTATCCTGCTGGAAGGTCTTAGAGTTATCCATTCTAAAGGTCTGAACTCATTTATGGAGACTAAATAAATCTATTATTGATTATAGAAGCAAAACCTCACATTAAACATTTCTGTTTTGATCTGTCCATGTTAAGCGTTATTATCCCACTTAAACACTCCCTTTTCAGTTATATTTTTTAAATAATCTATTGGCATTTCAAAGAGCTCTTTGAACTCCAACAACCTTCATGGAGTCCATGGGAGCCCTGAAGGGAGAAATATCTTCTAACATTTACAGAATTAGATGTTTCCCATCCATTTATCCTTTAATTAGAGCAAACTCAGCTGGGGTATTGTTGCAGCCAGTTGATATTCACTGCTTTCTTGGAACAATTGGGAATTTGTAAGACCAAACTACCACTTTTTATTGATATTTTGCCACATTCAGCTTACTTACTTTCCTTAATAATTATTGTAATATCAGAGATGGGAAGTAACGAAGTACAAATACTTCATTACTGTACTCAAGTAGATTTTTCTGATATTTTTTACTTTACTTTACTACTTATTTTTTATGGCGACTTTTTACTTCTACTCCTTACATTTTTACACAAATATCTGTACTTTCTACTCCTTACATTTTAAAAAAATTGGCTCGTTACTTTAGTTTTGAATCATTTCAATCGAGTTACCGTTATTATTTTTCACGTCATCAATACCAAATTCAATCTAATTGGATGGGAATCTACGTTGCATTTGACACACCACTACAAGATGAATCGACAGATTTGCCGGTATTCATTCGCGGCAAATCATTGCAGCTTGGTGGCGGTGGCGTTAGCATAGTAGTATGGACGACGAGATGATTGAAAATGAACACAACGGAGATCTAGTCCTATTGGCAGACATCCATTTAAAATGTAGGCAACAGCATGAAAAAAGTGGTTTCTACTTTTACTTTTATACTTTAGGTAAATTTACAAGCCTGTACTTTGTTACTTTTACTTGAGTAAAGAAGTTTAACCAGTACTTCCACTTTTACCAGAGTATTTTTTAACACAAGTATCTGTACTTTTACTCAAGTACGGAAAGTGAGTACTTTTGCCATCTCTGTGTAATATTCAGCTAAATAACTGACAATTTTTTCAGTTATTCGGCTATGGCAATTATTTTTTTATAATCCTGCTGTGGTTGTTTTCTTGAATGCATTGAAGCAGAGAAACATTGAAACAGTGCAGTACATCAAAAGGTGAAGGACTGGAATTAAAGAAAGTTCTGGAAACTGGATGCATTGACTGTAGACTAGAAGACCCAGTGGACCAACACCAGCAGACGACGTGGCATCGTAAATAATCACTGTTGAAATGTGGCACTAGACTCTAAGTAATGTGGATTCTCTGCCTCTCCATTTTACTCTCAAAACTAGAGATCTTGTTTATACACTTTTTTAGTGCTGTTTTTCCTTCTACTTAACATTTTATTGACATGCTTGAATACAGCACTCAGTAAAAGCCAGTTTACCCTTGCTGTGCAGGGTGTTAATGACTGTCAAGGATTTTTTTATTATTAATAGCAGAAGCTTCATAATTAACTGAGATTAATCTTGGTCTAAAATGCATGTGCTGCTAACAATTCAATTCAGTTTATTTCTGTAGGCCTAATTCACAAGAAATGTCATCTCAAGGCACTTTACAATTCAGCGAAATCATACAGTCGAATACATTCAAAGTTTTCTATCTAAGTAAAACCAGTTGATTGCATCGACTCATTGATTTCAAGGCAATTCCTCACACTAACCTTGCTTTTAGTGACAGTGGAGAGGAAAAACTCACTTTCAAGAGGAAAAAACCTCCTGCGGGGTTGGGGGGGGGGGTTATTCAACAATGTTGTCACTATTCGATACAGGGTAGGTGTTTTTGTGTGTGGGCTGCAAATATTTGACTTGTCAGTAGTTTCTCTGACCTGAGCTGTGAATCTCTGCCGCATCACCATAGATGCCTCAAAGCTGCCTCATTGACTGATGATCTCCTTGCCTGGCCTGTCAGTTTTGGTGGACTGCCAACTCTTGGTAGATTTGCATCTGTGCCACAGTATTTCCATTGGAAGGTGATGGATAGAGCGGGTTTCTGTGAGCTGTCCAGAGCTTGGGAGATTTTTTTTTTATAAACAATCCTGCCTCAAAACTTTCAACAACATTACCTCTGACTTCTGTGTTGTGTTTAAGCCTGGTTATAATATAATTTCTTACCAGATAAATTCTAATTTATTCTAAAGTCTCAAATCTTTACAGAAGATACAGAAATTCTACCAAGTAAAATCCTGAGGTAAAAATTCAAGGCATAAGATTAATTTTGAGACGCTAAATAGGCTAAAGGCTGTAAAAATATTCTCATATCTGAAGTCAGACCATAACAAATGTTTGTTTTACACACCCAGGAAGATCAAAGGATGAGATGATGCTGCTGAAATAAGAATTGAATGTACTTAAAGGGGTCCATACCTCCTCACTAGGGGAAACCAATTAATATGAAGCCGTGCCGAAGTTTAGGGTTCCTGTAGGATTTCATCCGATCCGCCTTAAATCCTGCTTCTCCCAAACTGAGAGAAACACACAACAGGCTTGTTATGTACTGAAATAATTAACTCAGCCAGAATGCAACACAAGCAACATCAAGGGGAACCCTGGAAACATTTTTAAGAGCTGAGTTAATGAAACCACCATCACTGTGAGTGGCCCACAAACATCACTGCAAAAGATCTCCATCTGTCTTTCTTTCTTCCTGAAATATGTGTTAAAGTAAGGATTTCATCTGTTTTACATCTGTAATTGGCTCATAGTTTATTCCTCCATTTGGGCCACTAAAGGTCTATTGTAAAGAAGTCAACTGTATTGTTTTATTAAAACAACAGATTTACTAATTTGATGAGGTAGGGTCACACAAGGAGAGAACCCAGGAGTTTTAGCTCTGGTGCCAAATTTTGGATTAAATGTTATAAACAACTAAAAAGTGTCTCATATGGTTTTATACTCCATATAAAAGAAAAAAAAAAATCATTTTTTTTTTATACACATGTAAAACTGATTAGCTTGTCTGTAAACACAACTTCAAGACATGGCTCATGAAAACATAATTACCATCAGTTAATTAGAAGTGACCTAACAGAGTAATTATAGGAGGTTATGTATAGTTCACATTCTTTCATATGGAAGGGTTAACAGTTTGGCTATACATAAAGGGGAGCAGGATCTGCTGAGCAATGCGGCTTTAATACAGTTCCAAGCGAGCACTGGGATCCATAAACCAAGCTCCTCCATAATGGGAGATTTGCTGGAATTCTAGGAACAGCACTGCTTACTGTGAAACAGGAAAAACCCCTCAATGTTGTCTTTGTTAGCTGCTTTTAATTAAACCCTCAGTGCCTTTTCTCGGGATCCAAAACAGCCCACAATTATACAAGCATCCATAGATCTCAT